AATAATAATAATAATAATAATAATAATAATAATAATAATAATAATAATAATAATAATAATAATAATAATAATAATAATATAACCTAGTGACTGAACCATAATAAGTCAGGCTCTTGTCCTCCACTGTCTTCTGGAGTTTGCTCAAATTCCTGTTTACTGCATCAATGGCACTGCATAACCGTTTAATCCTCTGCTGTCCTCTTCTCCTTTTGCCTGCAATCTTTCCCAACACCAGGGCCTTTTCCAATGAGTAGATAAATAGACAGATAGATCTTGAATAAATAGAGGCAACAAACTAGTAGCACTAGTGAGCAGTTGTCCCCGCCCACCCTCATCTGCCCTTTTCTGTCCTTTGTTTTGAGGTCAGCTGATTTGCGCTGTTTGACGCTCAAAATCAGTGGATTTTGATTGCAGTGTGTGCGTGCAAAGCGAAGTGATCTCTCATAGAACTGGTAGTAAAAAAAGGTTGCATCCCACCACTGCACATAACTACGTCCCTGGAAAAGCAGACAGAGGAGGCTTGGCAACACAGAGCTTTCCTAGGTATGACAAAGTACATTCCATCAGAGAGAAGTCCAAATTTAGAGATTGCACAGATAACAAAAGATTATATCTTTATTCTGGCAAGATTCTGTCTATTAGGTGTGAGAAATAAATGATTAACATTCGATTGAATTTTTCTGTGTTGTCTCTGTGCTTGGCCCATCATCTTTAGCTATCTCTCCAGTGAACTTCACTATTTTGACTTTACTTCTTCTAAATCAGGGATCTCCAAACCTTGCAATTTTAAAACTTGTGGACTTCAATTTTCCAGCCAGCATGACTAGCTGAGGAATTCTGGGAACTAAAGTCCACCAGTCTTAAAGTTGCCAAATTTGGAGACCACTATTCAATAATGAAAATAAGCAAATGTCCACATATTTTTTATTTTTTTTATCCCTGTTTATTCTTGGACTAAAGGAATATATCTGAGGAACCATCTCACCCTGATGAGACTAGTGTACCTAACTCATTCCAGTGGAAAGGGCCTACTTTTAATCCTGTCTGCCAAAGAATATGACTGCTGGGGTACAAGATAGAAGCCTTTCCTGTTGTATCCCTCAATCCTCTGGAATATTCTTGGGGATGAGGTCTGACACATGGCCTTCTGAGAAAACCTGAAACTTCGATCTGCTACCTGATCATGGATCCCAACAGAGCCTTGCTACGCTGGGGGTGACCAAGAGGATGGGGAAAATCCCTACCCCAGACTGCCCATATTCTTGGTTTTAGCTTTCTATTTAACTCACCTAATTTTGATTGCCCCATATTACCATGTTTATTTTTTACTATATTGCAAGCTGCCCAGAGTTGCTATTTTCAGGGTAGAGGGTATCATAAAAAAAATCTAATAAATAAATAAAAATAAAATTTAAAATGTGGGTGGTCAGAAATTTGAGGAGGTTCCAGCACAGTGTCCTTATTTCTGATTTACTCATACTCTGGTGGTTTGGGGGGGGGGTCATTTTTCAAAGCTCTGGAATCCAACCTCCCAATTCCCACAGGCTCCCATACTTGTTATCCATAAACCATTATGTCAAGAATACAAGGTCCATCT